ATCTTTAAAAACTGTCAAAAATCCTTTATTTTCTTTTATCACTTTCTGAACATTTTTTGATACTTTCCCATTTTTTACACTTAAATAGAATATTTTGTTATTTTTTTTATTTTTATTTATAAATCGGTTATTAATAAAAATTTATTAAATTTTTAATCAATAATTTATTTTTGATAATTTGATTATTTAAATACCTTCTTAAAAAGTTAATTAATTTAATGGCCTAATGTTAACAAACTTTGAAATTGAAATTGCCAACAAATTTCATTTATAATTGGGCTGCAATTTTTGAAAAATTGTAGACCTATAAATTCTCAGTGTCGTCTGTGTGTCCATTCATCCGTATATCTGTCTTTCCTTAATTTTGAGAACGGAGTTAGATAGATGAAAGACGAGATCAGATATGGAAACCTTAGGGGCAGGAGGCCCCGAATAACTATACAGTAATACCCCAAACTTACGCGATAGGTGGGACTGAGAGATAACCGCGTAAGTCGAATTCGCGTAAGTCGGGGTATAATTTCGCAATTTGTGTAAAATCCAAGTTGGAGGTATGTAAGCTAATAAATGTTCTCGTTAATCTTATCTCGTCTTTTGATTCGTTTACGGTTACAAGAAATCACCACACAGAGTCTCTCGAGTCTCCGTAGATATAACAAACACAGAAATAAATAACACAAAATAAATTGTAGCTATGTGTCGATTCTGCGCGACACATCCGAACATGTAAACTGAATAATAGTGTGGGGGGAATGAGTAATCAAGAGTTGTGTGGCGCTCAAACAAAAGATGAAGATTTGAAAATCGCGTAACTCCGGGTTCACGTAAGTCGGGGTAGTGTAAGTCGAGGTATTACTGTATATATGAACTTCTGATGCAAACTGGAAGTCATGATATTTCACTTCAAAGTTTGATGTACACGGGCAAGTCACTGCTAATTTGAGGTGGAGAGACATCAGTTGACTAACAGTGATTTTAAAAATGGCATATAGGCAGTCTCTGTTTGCCAGATCTACTTTCCAACAAAGTTTTGTGTCATTTTATCATATACATTACAATATTTATATTTTTTAGATATCGGTACCATATTGGCCTGAATATTAGTCAGGGTTTTTCCTAGTTTTTTTTTTTTTTTTTTTTTAAATCTTGAATTAATAAAATTTGGATTTTCAAGTCTTAGAAACAGTATAATACAGTAAAGTTGAAATAAAGCTGTTTAAGTACTGTAATTTATTGTAGTTATTGATATAGAATTTTATCAATTAATAATTGATGTTTTGACAATATCAATTGCCTGTCATCAATTATTGCACAATATCAAATCATTTATATTGATTACAAATTTTATGATATTGAACACCACTACATGTCAAAAAACTCCAATGTTTACGAAGGTAAGGAATAGATATTGTGACTGTTGGTGACCTGATGGCTTTACAGTTGAAAAAATGACAATGGCATCAAAATCAAAACTGAACGAGTTAGTAAATAATTTTAAAGACAGAGAAATTACAGCCGACAAATATTACTCTTAGATATAAATCGTGTGATGTTACCATAAATTCAGATGATAAGCATCTTTGTTCATATGTTAAGCAGTATATTAAATATGCAAAAAATATTTCCAATGGAGAAAGGAAAAAAACATAGAAGGAACAAAGTTTTATTTTGGTATCATTAAATTCTGCAAAGGACAATACAAGCAAGAAGAATGAATTTTCACATGAATTGCTACAGCTTTAATATGGTCAGGAATTTCTCTTAATAAGATAAATTATCCAGCATTCAAAAACTTTCTAGAAAGGTATACTAGCACTCAATCCTTGACCAAAACTTGCTAAGGAAAAGCTATATGCAACTTGTGTATGAAGCAACATAAAAAAAAATAATAATACAGGAAATAGTAGGAAACAACCTTTTTGGATGAAAAAATGTATGTGCTAAAAAGGTACTGTTCATGCTGAATTTTCTCATTGGTCAGTTAACATGGTAGCCAGTACAATCCATATAGTTAACAGTTTACATATTAAAAAAGATCAGTTCCACAACTGTTATGCAGACCTTCAATGGTGCATGTGCCAAACTGTGGAACTCTGCCATTCCATATGAAAAGATTTGGTTAATTATATGGTAACAGACCAGGCACCATACATGCTAAGTGCATGATCAAATATAAAGTTAACATATTTGAATCTGAGATATGTCACTTGTTTTGTCCATTGCCTTAACAAGATATGTAAAGCAATTAGGACAGAATTTTCTTGGGCCAATGATTTTATTTTGGAAATGAAAAAGATTATGATTAAATGTCATGCAAATACACATAAAGAGCTGACTGGCTTATCACTCCCAAAACACCATGTATTAACCAGGTGGGGCACATGGAATCGAGTGGTTTGTTTTTATGCCTAAATTTCTCAATTCATTGATAAATTGGACAAAAATTTTCAGTATCTGCAATGAAACTCAAGAGTCTATTGAAACAAGAAGCTGTGTTAAAAGAACTCTACAAGTTCTTGTGTATTTCACTTTCTAAGCTTGAGGAAAATAATCTGTCTACTATGAAGCAATAGGAGATTTTTAAATACACTAAAACCCATTAATGGATTTACTTTAGAGAAATTGAAATATTTCCTAAGAAAAATCAATATATATTATAAAGGTAAGTGTACAATGTGCATGCCGCTAAAACTCAAAAACGAGTACCGGTACAATCAAGAGAGTTATATGGTGTGGTAGTCCTCTATCCCCCATCCATGAAGAAGGTTCCCGTTTTTACCTGAAGAGCGTGCTGTTGAAGATATAAGGGCTGGAAATTTTGCCCTCTAGAAATTTCTAGAACAGTCCAGAACATTTGAGAGTATTCGAGAGCATTCCACAACATTCTAGAATGTTCTGGAATGTTTGGGAACATTCCGGAACATCCCAGATCATTGTGGAACATCCCAGAATACTCTCAAATGTTGTGGAATGTTCTGGAACATTGTGGACCATTTGAAGCTTTACCCATTGATGGGGTATATGAAACAAGATCCATCAAGGGTTCGAACATCAGTTTCGATTATTTTATTGAAAACATATTCTTTGAATATGTTTTCAATAAAATAAAACTCTTATATTTTAAAGTTTATCCTTTTATTCCAGCTAACACACAATCTCATATCAACTCCCTGAGTGAATCTCATATCAACTCCCTAGATTTAATTCCTGAGTCTCTTCAGTCATAAAACCTGGAGTTTTTATTGAAACCAAATATGTTCCTCTCACATCTGTTGATATTGAGAGATTGCTTTTGCAGTTTAAAGATTTATACTCCTTGTGCTGTTTGTGGCTGACCATGGAGAATGTAGAATGACTGTGTTTACACATACAATGTTTTTATGTTTGTAAACTATAAAACTGGTAGATCAGATTCTGAAAGTGACTAACTGATTTGAATATTCTAACATTTTCTTGAGTTTTGGATGTTCTATGCATATTATTTTATGCACAATAAAATGATGGTTTTAAGAGCATGTTTTTTTGCAAAACTCCAGTATTTTTTAGCTTGTTTTAAAGAAAATTTACACCTCAACTTCCCAAATTGAATTATTATTATTTGATACGAAAACCACTCTGAAAGTTTTCAGATACACAAAAACCACTGAGTGCAGTGTTGATACTCTCCAAGATACTTTACTGCCGAACATTTTCTAAACAGAAGTTCAACAGTATATCTGCTTTCTTGAAATTTCCTGCATGTAGGAAGTGCCATCAAATTTGGATGTTAAAAATGGTGCTGAAGCTGGAGAATTTCTGAGCAATAATGTTTTATGGCTTTAAATTTCAACAGGAAAGCTCAAATCATTTGTAGGACACTGTCACTGATGACAAGACCTGGATCTACCAATATGACCCCAAAAGCAAGAGATAGTATGCAGTTTGGATTTTCTCTGACAAATCACCACTGTTAAAGTCAAATGTCCAAGAAGTGTTGGCAAGAAAATGGTTGCGACATTCTTTGGAAGACAGGGTCATACTACTACCATAGTTCTTGAGGATAGGAAAGACAGTTAATGCTGAGTGGTATGTCACCATTTGTCTTCCTCAAATCTTTCAAGAAATCTGCAAATGGCACCCTAAAACAGGCCTTTGTGGAGTATTGCTGCATTGTGACAATTTAATGGCACCTACAGCAATGAGAACAGTGGACTAGTTGAGTGACTCTGGAGTGCAATCGATCATCCATCCACTTAGTCCAGATTTAGCACTTAGTGACATCTTTCTGTTTCCCAAAGCCAAGGAGGTCCTCAAGGGATGTCGTTTTGGGAATCCTGAAGAGACAGTTGCTGCATACAGACACCTTGGCAGACTTCTCAGAAGAAGACAAGTGTCAGTGCTTTCAGAGCTGGTTCTACCACGTGCAACAATGCATCGAGCATCAGGGAGTGTACTTTGAGATATGAGGACAGACAGAAAGTAATAATAAACTGGATCACTGTATCCAGAAACTTTCAGAGTTCTAATTTAACTATTATTGAAGAATTTTAAACCCAAAAGACAGTTTTGTTTATTTTGTGTATAATTATTGGTGTGAAGAATATATTTAATTTGATAAATGAAACAGAGTTAAATGAAAAATTTTAAAAAAGTTCTGTTGTTTTTGGCAACCATTTTTGTATTTTCCATGCAATGCACTTTAGGCAGTTCCATCTCAAATTTTCTGTTTCACTTATTTTAGCATTTTATTTTAGGTGTGTAATTATAACATAACTTCTAAGTGTCATACTGGTAAATGTTCTTTTAATGACTGCTATGAAGGTGCAAAGTGTATGTCAGTGCAGATTCCTCTTCAGGAAATTATAGTGATCAGAAATATTATTTAAAAAAAGTTTTTATTGCATAAATTTTAATTAAAAATTTATTTATATGGAAATGTGTTTAATGCTTATATTTTTTTTAGCAATATTTATTTAGATTTTTATATATAAAAATTGTAAATAAAAGTTTGTTATTTTCAGATGGTTGGACCATGCCATAAAATTGAAAATACTAATAAATTGAGTAAGAAAAATGGATGGTCAAGACCACTTCATCCACTACAATTTGTGGCTTGGTTTTTTCTTGTTTTATTTTCATTTTTATACTTTGGGGCTATGGTGCCAAATTTTCCACCAGGAATGTGGCAGCAAACTACCACAATTGTATCCTTTTTCGGGTAGTATAATTTTAATTATAGCATTATATAATAGTAAGTAACATTATGATTTAAAATAGTTGCTAAATTTTAAATTTCAGAAAGCACCTACAAATATAAATAAATAAAATTTTCCAGGAAAACTTAACATAACAATCAGAATGGATATAATTAAACAAATGAGCAATAAAATACATAATAGAGAGGTTGAGGCGCACGTTTTAAACGTGTACGTGTGACGTTCGGCGCTGCTTTCCTGTAAGCCTAAAAGTTTGACAATGGTGTTTGGATAGTCGGTGGAATCACGCTCGACATTTCAAACACCATCGTCAAACTTTTAGGCTTACAGGAAAGTGGCGCCGAACGTCACACGTACACGTTTACACATTTAAAACGTGCGCCTCAACCTCTCTAATAAAAATTATTTATAACAAAATTTTTTATTCTGCACAAAGCAAGAAATTGATATTTGTTAACAGTATATGAAAAATGATATTTTTTACCTATATAATTATGCTCTTCTTTAAGGTTACCAAATCAAGACTTAGTTAGAATTGTTAGATATTAGTTTGTAAGTTAATTGGGCTGCAATTTGAAAAAATTATAGACCTATAAATTCCCACTGTTGTCTACCTGGCTGTCTGTCCTTCCTTAATCTTGAGAACAGTGTTAGATAGAAAGTCCGAGATCAGATGTGGAAAGTTTAGGGGCAGAAGGCCCCGATTAACTATATAAGAACTTCCAGTCTAGAGCAGAAGTCATGTGAATTCAGTTCAAATATTTTCCCCTGAATGGAGTTACGTAGATGACCAGCATGACTGTTGTTATCAGGAAAAGTATGACATGCAGGGGCAAGACACTACAAATTTGAAGTGGAGAGCATATATTTTAAATCAAATAGATTAAAAATACAATTAAAAATTGCAGTCCAGCATTGTGATGATTCACAATAACATAATTGCTCATTCACAATATTTATATATATGTACATTATGTTTATGCTATTTTTATATGATTAAGTTTGTTATTGTATTTAAGTCCCTATTAGATGATATAAGTAATAAAATAGTATATTAATTAAATTTGTACAAGATGAATAGAAAAAATATAATAGAACTTTAACCACATTAATCAGATCAATGGCATTATTTTATTAGTACATATAATTGTTCATATCATAAGTATTACTGTGGATCCTGCTGATGTTGCAGTTAGGAAGAAAAATTACAAAGGACCTCTTCCAACCTTTGATCGTGATAAACATGCACATGTCATTGAAAATCAAACTTGTCATCTATGCCTGGTAAAAGTGTAAGTATTTAATTTAAATTAAAAATTTTAGAAAAAATTCAATCTATGAAAAATGTAAGTTAAATGTTTTAAATATCTTTTTATAATGAAATAAACTTGTATATGGACATATTTTGTCCATATGCAACATCCATAACACATTTTTCCAAAAATTTGGAATGTAAACATATATGTTAAGTGTGTGTAAATATTGCTTATGTTACGTACATTAGGGTACCTTTTATTCGATCAATTTTTTTATATTTTGAGTTTTTGTCTTACCCCTTATCTTATACACAGTTAAATTATTTAAATAATAATAATAATTTGTGTTAAACATACTGTATTTATTCTAATAAATGGTGCCCTCTAATAATAAGTGTGCTTATCTTCTTCCAATAACCTGAAAAATTTCATAGTCTATTCAGTATTGTCACTCTTATCGTATTAACATAAAGCGCAAGTTTGTTGAGTATTATTATTCAAGCAATAATACAACAAAGTGAAAAAAGTTAACCAGATTTATTCCATTGATAGTCACCCTCTAATTGTAAGTGCTCTCTAATACGCTTCCAAGCTGAAAGTTATAGAAAGGTTAATGACCGCATTTATTTTAATGAAACATTCACTATATCATTGTAGTGATTAATCTGTCTGGTGAAAAAAGTATAAGAAAGCTATAAATATATAATATAAAATATTAATTTTTATTACAAAATGCATAAAATTATGTATTTAGTTAGTAATTCATATTGTAAAGCGTTATCTAGAAATCCATTATTAGATATAGATTATATCAGTGTAATAATTTATGATCAACTTCAGAGATGAAAGTGGCATGATTTTCACTAAATAACTAAGTTTATATCACTAAATTTAGTGAAAAATTGAAATAAATGTTCAATTTTTGGCTTGTTTAACAGGTAAAGGGTGCAAGTGAAACAACTTTTTTTGTTCCTTTAACAGAGGGAAGATAGTATTTAACAACTTCAAAACAAAGTAATTTTAGAAAATGTTGACATTTTTTGTATTAGCTCATGGTCATAGTTGTACTTTTTGCTACTGTTGGTGGGCTGTATACTTCGGTACTTTGGTGGGTTATGTCTTTGCATAGTAGGTGACAAAAAACAAAATTACAATATTTATAAAAACTTTTAAAGTAATTGTAAATAGACAAAAATAAATATAATTCTGGAAAAAACCAAATTTCTGCAGCTAGATCTCTGGTGGCTCTATTGTTAGAGGAAAATACTATACAATTAAATTTATAATCACTTTTAAATTGTGCTTTTGTTGAATCATTTTCCGTGATGCTATAATGAAGTTCATAGCCTGAAAAATAAAACCTTAATAACAGGAAAAACTGTTGCCTGCATAAAAAATATTGTTAATGAAAGAAAATTTACTCGAAGTAAGTTAATCTCAATGTTATCTATCAAGAAGAGCAATGGTACGCCGCACCAACATTTTTTTCAGTACAGGTAACCCCCGTATAACACGGTAGTTACGTTCCAAAAAATTGCCGTGTTATGCGAATCCGTGTTATACGAAACAAAGAACTAATACGAAAAGGAGGGTTAGGTTCCAAAAATTAAAAAACATGCTAGTATATTTTCATAATTAAGATAAATATCTTCATTAAAATTTTTTTAAGTGATACATATTAATATAAATTAAACAATGTTTTCTTCGTCATCACTAAAAACACTATTAATTAACCGAGAGCGTTTTCTTTTTGGCAAGTTATCCTTATCCTCTGAGCATTTTTCTGCATTATCTTCAGATCCATGCTTTACCTTTTGCAAAATGTATGTAATTTTAGATTGCTTGCTTCTAGTTAAAAGGTCTTTATAAATTTCCTTATATGGTGCTAAGCACTTATGAAGAATAAAGCAAGTATGGAATAAGGGAAAAACATTCGGCAACATCAGAAGCAGAAGCGTCGCGATCTGGCAACATTGAAACAAGTTTCGAGAAGGACCACGTGTATCGACAGAAGGCGAGAAGAGAAAATTTACATACTTAAGTACTAATAGTTCTCGAAAATAATAATTTTCGTGAACTATTATTAGTTAAGTATGTAAAAATTTATTACATTTCATGTTGTACCAGAGTTTTACCCAATTCTCGAACCGTGTCAGAGTGAATCCGTGCTATAAAAGTACCGTGTTATACGGGGGATGGTACCAATTCTCAAACCGTGTTAGAGCGAATCCGTGCTATAGAAGTGCCGTGTTATACGGGGGATGGTACCAATTCTCAAACCGTGTTAGAGCGAATCCGTGCTATAGAAGTGCCGTGTTATACGGGGGTTACCTGTAATGAGTTATTACACTGGCAATTAGTTCTAAATCAAGTGGATGTAGTTTGCTTTTAATGGAGGGAAAACATTCAGTTCATATGTTAGAATAATTCTTGTGCTGTTTACTTTCTTTACTGTGTTGAATAAGGACAGTGTTTTGTACTATAAAGATGTAATTTTGTAAGATTATAAATATCAGCTGGTTTGTATCTCTGTGTAAATTTTGGTAGTTGTTCTCTTTTCCAAAATTCATTATAAAACTGAATTTGATTTGCCAAAAATTATTTGTCCTGTGATGATGTGGCATTCTTTAAAGCTTGTAACCAGCTTTGATGATACCTTAAATTCTTTGAAAACATTCATTTTTGTTTCAAATTGTAAGGCTTTTTCCTGCAATATTTTTCCATTTGAAGGGGATATTTTTTGCTTCTTCAGTTCGAGAACCATTTACAATCATGATTTATGTTCATATGAGACAAGTTTATCAATAATAACTATTGTCAAAAATCTGCAAAATAAAACACTGAAGTGCTTTAGTGTTTTCTCATGTGGAAATTTCCACAGGTTATCGTAAAATGAGCTAGATGCCTCTTTTTTGTTATATTTTTGGTGATAAGAGTTATCTATTTATTAAATTATATACTGAGAACACATAATCATTAATACCTCGTATACATACAATTCAGAAAAAAGTGTCGAGAAGGCCAATATTTCATTACATATAAATGAATAAAAAAATACATGCTAATAAATGGCATATTGCCAGGACCAAAAGTTAAGTAAAATGGATTACTAATTACTATAACATGTACTTTGCTGTATTAGAAGTATTAAAAAGATTGACTAATTAATTACATGACTGGATCTGACCAGATTTCCATTAAGCTTGTTTATTTTTAATTATGTATTGTACAAAAATAATGAATAATAAAATAATTTAATATTTTTAAAACTTACATTTAATTACTAAATTATAATTATACATTAATATTGACTTCCCAAAAACTGATTTATTGATATTAAGCTAAACGATCGCCGTAATTAATCGGACTATTAACATGCTATAATTAATTGCTTGGGGTCTGGATGGCGTAACTGGCGAGCACATTGCACAGTAAGTGGAGGTTGAGGGTTCAAATCCCAACTAGTTCTTTTCTTCTGGAATGTTCTAAATTATTTAATAAATTATTAAATTATTATAATTATTAATTTAGATAAGAGATGGTGCCTAATGTCTACCTCTAGTATCAAATTACTTGTGCTATAATTAATAATTAGAAACTGTTAATATCTCAATTAATTATGGCAATCATTTGGCTTATAATTATACATGTTTTGTTTATGTAAATAAAGTAAAAACAAAAAAAAATAACAGTAATATATCACATCTACCCATTCTTAGATATGTACAAATAGAATGTTTTTATGATGAAAGCTATAGTTAAGAATTAAAATGTCAAAGAAAAAATTATTTGAACAGACATAAATGTTGTTTTATTTGTAATTGAAATTAATTATGCTGTTAAAAAGTTTTAATTGAAACAGCAATTATTGATGTTTCTGATATAATTTTATCTGTGTTAATTAATAATATAGAGTACCTACTCCTTTATATACTATACCTATTTATTTATTGTTTTATTTTATAATTACAGGGCTCCTCGTTCTAAGCATTGTAGTGTTTGTAATAAGTGTGTTTCAGATTTCGATCATCATTGTAAATGGCTAAATAATTGTGTAGGTGGAAGAAATTATAAGTATGTATTATTCATTAATACTAAAAAAGTCCTCGGTAGTTACGTTCCAAAAAATTGCCGTGTTATGCGAATCCGTGTTATACGAAACAAAGAACTAATACGAAAAGGAAGGTTAGGTTCCAAAAATTAAAAAACATGCTAGTATATTTTCATAATTAAGATAAATATCTTCATTAAAATTTTTTAAGTGATACATATTAATATAAATTAAACAATATTTTCTTCGTCATCACTAAAAACACTATTAATNTGTATAAACACAAGATCATTTCATATAGAGCGAATCATGCTCTTTAATATGGCCTACAGTTATGAACAATAATCAGTTGTTTTCCGAGAGAGGACTTGATGGTTCATAATTCGTGTTACTGTATCCATTCCATAGTACAGAAACACGAACTATATACCACGTTTCTGTATTTGTAACATAGTTTGTATTTATAATCATTAGCTGAATTTAAGTTTTATTACACCAAGGATAAACATATACTATATGAAATCTGCATATAGTTGATGATTAGAATGCTTTAATACTTCTTAATTTCAAGAATTATATTAAATCAAGGTTATGAATTGTTAGATCTATATTGGCATAAAAATTCTAAATGTTCATTTTGTAACGGATATTTAAATTGTAATTCTTATAAAATAATATAAAGTGCCTTATTACAAAAATACCTTGCAATTTGAATGGAGCTTTCGACTTAATTAAAAGTAATTATATCAATAAATTTGCAAAAGTGCAAGGTTAAATATGACAATGCCACGTTAATTATGGATTGGAAGGTTAAAAACAAAAGGTAGAATTAGTTATCATTAAATTAAGCGAGAGAATCATTTACATTTGGAATCGTTCCATTGATTACAGGCACGTATTCAAGATAAATCAAAAATATCCGAGTCTAGAAAATTCTGACTTTAATAATAATAGATTATGTTAAGATACAAGCCCAAAAATTTCACAATAATTTCATTAACAGTGTCTAATTACTTTGCATGAATCTTCAGTAAATATTTTACTAGAAATTAATACATTATATTTATTAAAACCATGCTTTGATTCACACGAAGAATCAAAAATAGTTATCCTTTGCATCACATGAAGAACCATATTGTACGGTGTTGTTTTAGCAAATGTTATTTATTGACAGCATCTCGGAAACTGTATTCGCTGCCAAGAAATAATTTATGCTGACAAGTGGCAACACTGTTGGCATCCATTTCCGTGTTACAATTTCTCTTCCTGCTTACCTTTATACCTGTATATATATATATTTTTTTTTTTGTAGTGATCTTCATAAGAAATTATCTTTCATATAGGTTCCAAAAATTAAAATAAATGATATAAGATATATATACACAGGTAACCCCCATATAGCATGGGAGTTATGCAGGGGTTACCTGTATATATATATATTGCCGTGTTATGCGAATCAAAGAACTAGTGCAAAAAGGGGGTTAGGTTCCAAAAATTAAAAAACATGCTGTTAAATCCTTATTTAAATCGGATTTATTATTTATTCTTTTCATAGGTAAAATACTTATTTATTATTTAAGTAAATATTTTACCAGAAGAATATTCATCCTATATGATGATCTCAGCATGAGCATCACCACCCAACTGGTAGGTTTTTGGGTGCGTTCATTGATAGCGGTCGCTCTGCAACGGGAGTGCACTTCTGTTTGTAGGCATTTAGGAATGACGGTGAAAGAAAGATAGCGGCACCCACACTATCGATAGTATCGTGATGGAGGATTCTAATTCTAAAATGAGCTTTTAGAGGCAAAAGAAGGGTCCCAATTGTAAAATTTAACCATTAAATAGATTATTTGTTGAAAGAGCATTCAAAGTAGCCACGAAAACAATTAGAATACTCGCGTGGAGTTACCTGGAGGTATAAAAGAACGCACCCTTTATTACATTTCATGTTGTACGAGGGTTTTACCCAATTCTTGAACTGTGTTAGAGTGATCCTGTGCTATAAAAGCACCGTATTATATGGGGATGTTCCCAATTCTCAAACCGTGTTAGACTGTATATATATATATATATTTTAAGTCTCATTTTAGAAAATTTTTCTTTTGTACTTATATAATTTTACCATAAATTTTAAAATACTGATTTTGAAATTAAAAACAAAAAACACTTGAAATTAAAAATTTTTATTCAAATTATTTGAAAATATTTAATAGTTTCCTTTACCGTTTACAGAAAATTGTATTTTTGATTTTAGGAAATATTTTTATTTGGATGAGATATTGCTTTTTATATTGAATAAAATATTTTCTAATATAGCAAAATGCATGTAGAAAATTTGTTTAGACATCAGCGATGTTGCTGTTTTTCATTTCAAGGCTTGTTGAAATTCAATATAAATTTAAACTTCCATTTAATATATTTGAACAAAAGAAAGATATTTTAATAATGTTTGTTTAAAAAATTATTATTTTATAATATAGTATATTAAAATATTAAATATTTTCATAAAATTCAAGACAAAAATTAAATTTTAACCACGTAAAAAGGAGTTATATTTTGTTTATTGTATCCTTTTAGGTAGAGATGACTGAAATACGGTCAAACATTTTTGATTAAATGTTTTTTGGTTACCTCAACTTTAGAGTGTATTTATTATTTTTATTTTATTAGAGTAGCCCCAGGTTTTGTCAATTTTCATGCTAATTTGCTAACATTATTTCTAAAACATTTTAAACATTTTAAAAATTACATTTTAAATCTGCATATTTTTAAATAATTAGATATATAAAATTTTTGACTTTCTAGTTAATTTAATTAAAAGTTTTCTATATAAGTTATAATTTTAAGTATAGAAGATATTATATATGAAGATTCAATAATAGAATTAATGTTAAAATTGATGATAGATATTATAATAATGAAAGTTTCTTTTATTTTTAGATTGTTTATTGCGTGTGTAACTTCAGCTCTTGTGGGATCATTGTATATCTTTGTATCAGCTGTTATACTAATAATAGCTTTCTATAACAAAGAAAGTTGGTTTTATGTAAAAAATTGTAAGTATTTTTAAATTTTAAGTTATTTTAAGGTTTAATTTTAAATTAGATAAAATTTTTAGAAAATTGCTAATTATTTTCTATGCAAATTCTTAAAATTATAGATTTAGATTTGAATTCGTTACCGTAACAAAATTAATCAATCCGATCATTCATATCCTTTTAGATCAGTAGTTCTTAAAATTACATGGTTCACAAACCATTTAATTTAAGTCAAAGGTAAACCTCTTTTGCCCCCGTTCACTTCTTATTCTATAAAAATCACCTTAAGTTACCGAACAGACAAAACTTTTTGACGTGAATCTAACATTTAAGATAAATGATTCTCATAAAAACATTGTTCTCTTGCTAAACAACACAAGATTGCATTTTAGAAAAATGACCAGATCAGTTTGTGGATCATCTGGTGAATGCTGATGGACTATCAGTAGTCTGCAGACCATATTTTGAGGACTACTGTTTTAGATAAATGATCGGCATTTTTAAAAATTAGTAAAAATTTTTTCTTATAGTAAAATATTAGTTACAATGGCTGTAAATAAAATTTTAATTTATAATTTTTTTAGAATCAAGGATCTATTTATATTTAAATTTCACTAAATATAAATAGTTGTCTGATTTACATATAAAAAATAGTTTAAAAAAGTGACTATTATTTATTAAGTGACTAATTTTTCAAATTAGTGTAGAAAATTCTCACTTAAGATTGTAATCGTTGTTAAATTTTCTTTGTAAAATTAATTTTACTGTTTGTAAAAGTATTCTATAATTCTATAAGTTATTAGAAATTACAACATTAGGTAAGAACTTGCTGAAATACAGAATATTATGTTGTATAATAGTAAAAAGTAAATAATAATTTATTAAAAGAACATTGGAATTTATATTGTTTATTTTAAATAATTTAACAGTTTGCAAGAATTAATTTGCTGTTTAAAATACAAACTTTATTTGGTTTATTAATAAATGATTGTAATCTAAATTTTGTAATTGCTGACTAAATTTGTATTTATTTATTTATTTATAAAATTACAGTTCTTTCAATAGTCACTATTTATTTACAGTAGTAACCATAGAAATTGCATCATCTATTAGAACAACAAAAAGCACTCAAAAGATATGCAAAGAAGCATATTTAAGCTATGATTGCAATTTGTAATGATAACCCATGTAGAACAGAGAAGAATCAAAGAAGAGTAAACAAAAAATGCAATTTATTGCATATAATGCTACATTGAATTTAACTATGTTGTTTCACATTATAGCCTTAACAATAATGTCAATGAGCACTGCTGCAAGAATTTGCCATTTGTAGTTATGGAATAAAAAAAGGGTTCACAGTATAAGTAGATATGAAAAGCACAAAATGAACAATTATTTCTTGTTGAATAGGATTCTAATACTTAACAGGCTGACCTCAAACATTAATAGCAGCTTTACAGCACTAGCATAATGGAAGTATTCTATACCAGGCTCATGATACCAAACTCTTCTCATACACTCCTGTAGTTGCTGTTTATTTTCTTTTGTATTTCTGCAATTTTTGTTCTCATAATATGACAACAGTTCTAAATAGAATTGAGATAAAGACATAGCCAGCTGAAGTATATAATCTTGGCTTATTAATTTTTTCCTAAACAATAATTTGTTTGTCAGTTTAAATGACAACAATGCTAACAAAGTAATACATTATGCTTTAAGTTTAGTCGTCATCTGGTATGGTGATATGGTGCAAAGGCATCTTGGAAAACACAGGATTGTGTGTCAAAATTGTTCCTTAATTGTTGAAATCAGCTTGCCAAGATTTTTTTGTAATACTGAATTCATAGATACATTGATAGTTTGTTCTGTCCATAAATATGTCTGTGAATGTAGAATGCTACAAAATATCTTACCTACCAAACTGATTCAACAATCAAGGAATAATTTTGTTGCATGAAATCCTGTGTCTTCCAGGATTACTCAGTACTGTGTCACACCAAGATGATGATTAAAGCATAATGTGCCCTTTCTCTGTAATGTGAAAACAATGCTGCTTGGGTAAAAAAAAATCCTACAAGAGGCCCCAATCAGATGCCTAAGCTGGCCAGTTCTGATTTCAACTAGTCATGTTCAGTATCAAAAAAACCTGCAATCTATATAAATGTTATATAATTGTGTTTTGATTATTAACACCATTCATTGTCAAAATATTGATTAATCACTTTCACATTTGCTAAAAATATTAACTTCTCATTGGAACTGACATTGCCATTATATATAAGAATTTCAAATATAGTGTATACCAGGGGTTCTCAAACTTTTTTAACTGTTGACCCTTCAAAGATTCCTGATTCCTCAAACTTTTACTTCCTCCTCTTTGTTAATAATGGTTAATAATAATATTTTAATTAATTATTATTATCTGATGAGCCAGTATTAATCTCACATTGTTTTCATAGAAAAGCCTTCTTACAGTGTGTAAATTTACAACATCCTTACACATGATCCATTGGACTAACAATTTTTAATGAATTGTTTTCAATTGACTCCCCCTAATCAACCCCTGAAAATGCCTTATCTAGCCCTGAAGTTGATATTGACTTTGATCATTTTGGAGACCTTAGTCTAATATCTCTGTTATTCTCCCAATAGACCAAAGGATCTTTCATACAGGCTTGGCAAAAAAACCAAACATTACTGGAGGGAAAGGTGCATGAAATTTTTCTGGTTCATTACTTTTTGTGGACTTTCTCACATGTTTGTGGACAGCCTACAATAATTCAAATTTTCTCTTGGTGTCTCAGATATTTTCTGTTTTGTTTTAAAGCACCAAAATGTTTCACTGCTTTATTAAGGTAATCAATATGTCTGCAACCATCATTAACATTTTGAAAATTTATTTTTTTTAAACTGCAGATCAAGCAAAGTTTGTATACCTCATAATTTTGTTTCTTTTAAATTGTTAACATGAACAGTTATTTTTGTTTAATAATTAAGTTTTTACATCTATTTTACACCACAAACCTTTTTTCCACAACTACAAATTGCAAATTCTTGCAACAGTGCTCATTAATAGTATTAGTAAGGCTGTGATATGAAATAATATTTATTGTTTCATATTGCAGTCTTATCAACAGTTAAGTTCAATGTAGAATTATAAGAAATAAATTGCATTTTTTTAATTCTTTGATTAACGTTTATCATGTAAATCACAAAATACTTTGAGTGTGTATTATATTGGCTGAATCAGTATTAACAACTTCATTGTAATGATTAAAATTAATGCTATATGAGAAAAAAACACATGGTATCATGTTTTCATCAAACCAATTTTTAATACAAGACAGATCATTCAGAAGACTATTCTTAAAAGGACATTTTTAATTTGAAATGCATTCAACAGATGGGCAAAGCAGCATTCTATATAATAGGAACTTTGCATATCCATTGAGTATTTTTTTATATTATAGATTATGCAATTTCTATGGCTGCTGCCATATTTAGTGTATGGTTTTTGAAATTTTATAATAAATAAATAATGTCAAAAGTTAAAATCTATTATTATTAGAAAATATTCCTGTAAAATTCAGATACATCTTTTCTTATATAGCAAGTGACAATTCTCTCTTTTTGTGGACTGCTACTACCATTTCTTCATTAATCAGCAGCAGTACTGGAGTTGGTTCTGATGTCCAATATTCATCTTATGCTTTTGCTACTTTTGTTCCTTCCACTAACATTACTAAAACAGGTAGAAATTTATGCATGAATATCATATTTTAACTGTAAAATTTAATTAATCTAAACTAACTTAAAATAATCAAAATAACTTTTACAAAGATTTTAATTAATAATACTGTAAATAATATATAATAATAGATTTTGCAGAAACAAGAAATATATAGAAAGTATTATACTACAATTTTTTGATAATTATAGAGAGTATTAAATAGGTCATAGTGTTGTTTTATTCTAAATTTAATTTTACATTTCAAACTATTATTTTTTCATATTTTTTAAAGATATGTTACATTAATAATCAAATAATTCATGTATGATTCAAACAAATTACTGAAAGATCTGGAAATGAATCTAATATACCATATCTTATTCAAATGTAAGATGCACTTTTTTCATGTTTTAGTATCTCTGAAAATAGGACATGTCTTATATTTGATGGAACCTTAGATTCAATATAATACAAAATAATCTAGTGCCATACATTTTATTTCCTTGTTACTAATTCCATTGTGTCCTTTTAATGGTTTTATTGTATCAATATTTGTGATAGTAAGTATTTAAGAAGTTAAATTAGCTCAATTTCATTAGTCTATTGCAGTAACATCATAACTACTTGGATAAAAATCTCAGAAAAAATTGTACACCACTTTTTCAAGAAATGTTGCATTTCTGATGCTTTAATGATACTGAGGAGATTGTGTGTGGAAAGAAGTGAGCATTAACAAGAGCTAACACATTAAGTGAAAAGGTTTCTGACTTTGTACCACAGACAATGATATTTAATTTTACTGTGCACTAAATACTGAATGAATTTATGTCAATAGAATTAATTTTTTGCATAAATTTGTCTTGAGTAGTCTGTTTTTCAAAAAAAAAGAAACTGTGGATGAATTTGTAGAAATTACCACTCAGCAGTGAGCAATGACTATAGTCGTCAAGGGCGATCGTGTAGCAGTTGTGAGGGATAACTATAGTCATCAAATTCTTTTGAGAGGTGTCGCCAAAAACTAGTTAAAACTTCTGCAAAAAAAATTCACATAAAAAATGAATTATGTAACAATAAAAAGACTTTTCTTTAATAGACATAACTGTTTACAAAATCTTTTTCCGAAACGGTAATGAGAAAAAATGCGTGGAAAAATACTTTAAAAATTTCCTATGTTTATTCTCCACTACATAGGGATATTATTATTATGGAAAGTATATAGGAGGTGTTACTCAAAGGTATTTCCTCTAAGGGGATGAAATGAAGTGAGAAGGTCTTAGACGGAAGGGAAAGTGGTTAGTGGCAGAGGCCAAAGAGGATGAAGGTGGGAAGAGAAGTTAGGAAATGAAGGGGGGGGTCATGAGTTACAGTGGGACNCAGCAGTGAGCGATGACTATAGTCGTCAAGGGCGATCGTGTAGCAGTTGTGAGGGATAACTATAGTCATCAAATTCTTTTGAGAGGTGTCGCCAAAAACTAGTTAAAACTTCTGCAAAAAAAATTCACATAAAAAATGAATTATGTAACAATAAAAAGACTTTTCTTTAATAGACATAACTGTTTACAAAATCTTTTTTTGAAACAGTAATGAAAAAAAACGTGAGGAAAAATATTTAAAAAATTTTTCAGTTTATTCTCCACTACTGGGGGTAGAACCATACCCGACTAGTCCACTGTTGAAAGGTTAAGGTTCATCTTACATTGGTTAGAATCTTATATTCAAGTAAATATGGTATATTTATGTAAATTTTTCATAAATATCATAGATTAAAACATAAGAATTACTGAATTTCATCATTGGTCTCAATATAAGTTAAGTAAAATTTACTTATATTATTCCAAAAATACATGTAACTTAATTACTAAATCCAAGCTGAAAAGTTAAATTTTGTAATATTTTATATTTGTTATTAACAGTAATTTAAAATTTTAAATATTAAAAATATAACTAATATAAAGTTATTCAACATTAAGGGCTTTTTAAGTAATGCTGCTTTTTAAAACTCTGAAAACAGTGTTTATCTATTGTTTTATTAAATAAATGCAAAATTAAATGTTTTGAATAAAATGTTTGCTTGTGTTTTAACCATTTTAACATTTATAAAAAAAATATATTTTGCATTCTTATGTTTCGCTGCTTTATTTATTACACACAATCTATCACCCAGTACCGAGATTTCTAATTATTATATTTTTTAATGTAAATTTTGTATTTTGTTGAATTGATTATTAGTTAAACGATATACTCTTGTAGTTTAATTAATATTTTTCCTACTTGAATACTCTTAATTAATTTATAATCATTGCCTGCTTCATAATGGCTGATAATGATGTACATTTTATAAATAAGTTATAAATTATATCCAGAATGGCAAAAATTTTTAATTTTTTTTTTTATTACCTTATAAAGCATTGCATTTCATGCAATTATTAATTATGCAATTTTTTTCTTTTATTTTTAAATTCTTTATAAATTATATTTTAATGTTCAAAATTCATTTTGGGCTTTTATATGAAATTTATATTTTCAAGTTTTAGAGAAAATAATTAAACATATTTTAATAAATAATTGCTACATATTAATATAAAATGTTTTTATCTAACATAGTTAACTAATTTTGCATATAGAATTTCATTTATTTAGATTCATAATAGAATTTTAAGTTTAATCTTATAACTTTTACTCCAAAAAATTTCTTGGGGTATATTTAGTCTGTCTCGCATATGTCAAGCCTTGTCCCTCACCACCTGGCCAAACTCACAATGGTTCTGAGAAAAGATCTGCTTCATGGGATAGAAAGAGTAAACTAAAATATCCAAAAAGTTGTTTGCTTTGACTTTTTATATTGAAATAGATTCATCAAACAGTAATAAGCTCTTACTAATTTATATTACACTTTAAACCTTAGGAGCAGAATATGTGAATGAATTTAAAAAATACAGATATTCCTTACATGTATNGTTTACGTTTTCTCTTTCAAACATTTATAAAGATAAGGTGACCAAACTGGTCATAAAGAATAGTTTGTTATTATAGAACAGTTATTTTAAATAATTTATACAGATATTAAAAACATAGCATTATTTGTTATGGATTTATTACAGACAAAACTGTTAATTATCATCTTGATATAAAAAGAATTTCAACTTATGGCAATTGGGATTTACACCAGAAGGCTTGTCATGGAAAAAGAATTTTTTTTTGTTTTTTGCACGAGAAAAAATTTTAATTCAAATTTTCACTGATAGATAACGTTATTATATTATCATACAATCAGAATAGCATGAAAAAAAAGTGAAGGTGGTATAGCATTTATTCATTTGCATTTACGAACATGCTACAACAGTAGTTGTTTAGTGTGCCTGCCATCACAACCAATGACATTGTGCAACTGTCGTAACATAATTCATAAATGCATGAAGCATAATAAGGTCTGTGGCAGTTTCATCAAGAAGTGTCTTATCCACCAATATCAGGATCGAGTTTAATACATTTAATAACTTGATTTGCACAAAATACTGATGATATAGCTCCACTTCTTCTTTTTAATTAAAGGATTTAAGTTTGCATATTTTTGTGATGCAAATGGTACAGTGCTTATTGGTGAAAATTTGAACTAAAAATTTTTCTTATATCAAAACATTCATGACAAGCCTTCATGACAAGCCTTTTGATGTAAAGCCCACTGTAATTTGTCAATTTGTTGATTTTATATGATTTTTTTTTTGTTAAAGTCTCTGAACTTTTGGGACATACTTTATATACAAAGTTAAAATCCTTAGTGATAAAATATCCAAAGCATTTTATTTTATAAATTGTGCTGATTTAATAAAACTTTTGAAATAAAAGCATTTATATTGTGGTAAAGAATTGAATAACAAATCTTATTTTTATAGTGAAAGTATGAAAAGTCAACATCATTTCTATATTAGATTGTCTTTTACAAATTTCTTTTATGGCCAGTACTTACAAGAAAATTCTATGAGCATTTTTGCATTTATACCTTGTATATTCTTATATTTGTTAAAATAAATGTTTAATTTTGATTCTTCAGATATGTTTTATCAATGATAGTAAATGAAAAATTATATAAAACATGATTTTATCATTCATGGTTTATTGTATATTCAATTATTTTCACATGCTGTTAAATTTTGTGCACATATAAAGTATTTGTATATTATATGCATGGAAATGTCATTTACATTACAAATTTAGTTAATAATGTTAATAGTAATTGGATTGCAATTTTCAAATAGCAGATTTATAAATTTCCATTCGCATATATTAATCCTTCATTAATCTTGAGAATGAGTTAGTTGAAAATTGAGACCAGATATGGAAAGCTTAACAATATATGAACTTCTGGTATGGATCGGAAGCTACATGATTTTGATTCAAAAGTTTTATCTTATTATATAGAGCAGTAAGTTTGGTATAGAATTGACACTTATGATAATTTAAATTTAAATACAGTGCAATTGTAAAGTTCCTCTGCAGTGGGCAAGGAAACAGAAAGAGTTTCCAGGAAAGAAGTAATGACATCACAGGTAACTCATCTGTCAAAAGAGTTAAAGTAAGTTATGATGTCATCACTCGCTCAAGCCATCTGGGTGTGGCTCACAGCAGCGGGACTTTACAATTGCACTGAATGATTAAAAATTGCATCCCAGCATTGTGATATCATCACAATAAATAAAATTTTTATATATCAGGTAGAAAATTCTTTTCTAAGTTCCAATGTACTATCCTTGTAAAAACTGAAATTTTTAATAATTATAAATTTACTGTTACTTACTATTTATTTATTTTTTATTTTTAGAACCAACTTTTATAGTATTTGTACCAGTCAGCAGTACTTTTTTCCTCATTGTGGTGTTTACAATAATAGCTTTGACTTTCCTTGCAATTGGATTATTGGGACACTTATTGATATTTCATATATATCTCAGTAAGTATTGTTGTTAATTTACCTGTATTTATAATACAATAAATAATCTCTCTTGGAATTGTACTAGAATTCAATATGAATGGATAATTTCATTATTTACTAAAGAAATCATTCATATAACTTATTAAAAAATATCTTTTAAGCTGTGTTAATATTTTCCATAAGAATGTATACAGAAGATTTTTATACATTATTAATAATTTCATTATTTGAAAAATATGTATTCCTATTTCTTTCAGTCTAAATATATGTTGATTGAAATTTCAAAATTAAAAAAAGGATAAAAGTTATAGAGAAAGTATATACATCTCACTATATTTAGTAAAAAATTTATAACAATTTCTTATTTGCATTTTTCGGGCTGTAATTTTCAAAACTTGTAGACTTATAAATTCCCACTAGCAGCTGTCTGTCCTTTCTTAATCGTGAGAATAGAGTTAGATAGATGAATATTAAGACCAGATATGGAAAGCTTAGAAGCAGGAGGGCCCAATTAACTATATACAAATTTCAAGTTTGGATCAGAAGTCACATTATTTCAATTCAGAAATTTTCTCCTGATTGCAGTTAGATAGATGACTGGCATTATTCCATTGTTATTGGGAAAAGTGTGATATACAGGGGCAAGAGACTACTAAAATTGAGAGCATTGAGATGATGTCACAATAAATAACTGCTTGTTTACGTTTTCTCTTTCAAACATTTATAAAGATAAGGTGACCAAACTGGTCATAAAGAATAGTTTGTTATTATAGAACAGTTATTTTAAATAATTTATACAGATATTAAAAACATAGCATTATTTGTTATGGATTTATTACAGACAAAACTGTTAATTATCATCTTGATATAAAAAGAATTTCAACTTATGGCATTATACTACTGTATTTAAGATATAACTTTTAAAACTAACAAAGAAAATAAAATTAACCGCTATTATTTATTATTTTTTCTTTTTTTACTCTTAGTGTGCAAAGGTCTTTCTACTTATGATTATATTATACAGAAACGTGAAACTGCAACAGAATCTGCTTCAAGTAAACTTACTCAATGTGGACTTAAACACCATTTGAAAGATGAAGGAAAATTTTATTATTCATGCACACAAATATTTGCAAGAAAGGTAAGTTTTAAAACAGAATTTATAAATATGTATAGCTTATACAATGAAATCTGGGTTTAGAGGACAACTATACACACAATATATGATTCCAGCATTGTAACAGGACTACTGATTTTCTTTTCCTTTGATTAAGGGGACAATACCTCCTGCAAATAATAGACAAAAGTTTCTTATATTACCACTTAAACAGACAGTATAATGGATTATGTGTTTCTCATGAACAATAATAAAAAAAAACATGATCATCTTCAGTGCCATTATTTTGTACGAATTGTGTTTTAAAATGGATCAAATGAGATTTTTTAGTTTTATTTTTTAGATAGTACTCTGACACTCTTGAAAGATATCATTGGCATTTTCCCTTGCATAATGGATGAGAAGCATTAAGAAATTCAGAGTTTTGAAGACAAAAGATTAACAGAAGCAGAATGAATCAAATAAGTCAAGTGTTGGGAAAATTGACAAATATCATACTTGGGAAGGCTAGATAACATAATTGGTAATGTTTGTATAGCTTATAGTGTACTGTAGTTGCAGTTTTGAGTGCTATTTCAGGCCAGATTTTTTAGATTTCTTTAAATTAATTGACCATTAATTTCTAATTATTAAATTTATTACAAAATAACAATTTGGCACTGAAAATGTGCCATTTAAATATGCTAATTTATTTAAATTATTTTTATGCAACCGATTCTTTGATTATTTTTGATTTCTGTTTTTATCACACATTATTTTCAAAAAACCATGTATATTTTACAATATCTGACTGCCTTTTAAATAAATGTTAAGTGTATTAAAAAACTTCTGTAAGTGGATAAGATCTTTGATCCCAAGAATGTTAACTATATCTAAGTTTTCATTGTATTTTTTAATAGTTGTATACTGTTTTTGTGAGACAGATAATAGCAAAATGGGGAAATGCAAACATTATCCTATTATTCTAAAATCTTAGTGATTTTTTTTTTGTTTTATTAATTATAGTTATAAAGATTAAATTCTAATAGGTTTCATTTTTTAATAATAATGCGAAGAAGTTCTCTATAGCTTAGAGAGTTCTCCATGCAGGTACAAATTGAAAATTGTACCTGCATGGAGAACTGACTAAGCTATACAGGTACAAATTGAAAATTGTATCCAATAAAGTAAATATTGTCATAACTCCAATGAAAGAACCAAAAGTTTATTTCCACTGTTCTGAAGTTCAGTTCAGTTCAATTCAGTTCAAAACTCACAATTATCACAATATATACCTTAATCCTCTGTCTCTCTCCTGCACCCACTGTTTGTGATGTGCACAACCTGAGAAGAAAGAAGGGGAATAACATCTTGCTGCTCATTGAGACTTTCTTTTCACTCGCCAAACCAAAAATGTCCTTTGTCCTATAGGCTTGTACAGGAGTACTTCTAGATTCAGATCCCGCCAACATCATTGAGCCCTAGGGAACTTGGATCCTACTGCTTGACCTTCCTAACCACAACAAGTCCATTTGGACAGACAAAAGGTCAACAATGAACTAAATCACATGGTCTTAAGACCACAATAATCATATAGAAAATTATTGTAAAACTAATTTTGTTGTCACAGAAACAAAATGTAATATGATATGATTATAATTTTCTTTTAAAGATTATATATTTAATAAAATTTTTTTTTCTTTATCCTGAGAGTATTAAAAAATGAAATAGTTCTGAAACTTCAGGATTATTTTGTATATTATGAATATTGATTCTTTATTTTATTCTGGACTTGTATTAAAATAAGAAAAATATTTTAAAAATTACATTAAATTTCTTTTCAGGTTATAAATTTATATTTAAACTCAAGAAATATTCAAAATAAACTTTTTCATTTGTCTTTTTTAAAAAATTTTCAATATATATATTTTTAGTATAGGTTAAGATTTTTTTTATTATCCTCCCTCCTTAGGAACCCATAAAAAAATCTTTCAGCTGTACAAATATATTTATTACAAATTATCAGTTAACATTTCTTTTCTGTCAGTCCTGTAGTAATAGAATTCATGTAATTTTCACTGAACTATAACTTTTTTTTCTCTATTCTTTGCAATTGTCTTTCTCCAGTTGAGTAGAATAAATTCAGAAGTAGCTAACAAGTTGCAAGCGTACTAACCTCAACAAGAGCTACGAGTTATAAATACATGTATAAAATGGTATAAATGACCATCTTTAATTTTGTTGTTTATCTTGTTCTTCACTTTAAGATGCAAGGAATTAAGGAACATTCAGAGAAAGGTATTCCCTCTACTCAGTCTCCTCTGGTGTAAGAAACAAAAGTATAGAATGAATATGATTTGGAAGTGCAAATTAAATTGACTACTATGTTTGCATGAAATAAGTACCACACATTTTTTGATTTGTCTAAGTATGAAGTCCATTTATGAAACAATTTATTAAACTGAAAGTTTGCTGTCAGTTAAATATTTTTGAGATCAAATTCATTATAATGAGATTCCACCGTATATTTATTAATTAAAAAAACAACTTGTTGCTCTAGTGAGTTTCTAAAATATTTTCATTCCACGTATTCAAGATGATAATCTTGTATATTTTGTTGGTTTAATAATTATGCATAATACATCAGTTATTTTAAACTTAAAGTAAATAAATTGTTTTTTGAAATCTGTTAGTCATATTGTAGAATTATTATAAAATTGTCACCACTTTTAATTCAGTATTTATTATGAATTGAGAAATATTAAAATAAACATACACTTAATTATTTATTTAATAATAAATATATAAATAACAGCAACAAACTAATATTCTAAACTTTAAATAATTGCAAAGGTTATTTATAGTCATTGATACAATACTTAAATAATTTAAGTATATAACATGACAGAAGATTCTGTAAAATTTATGTACTTTCATTTTGCGCAATTGTGGTTAGTCTATTAGAAAATTTTGTCTTTTCAATTCAAATGTCTTAAAAATTTTCATATACTGTACATTTCTATAGTTTTTATTAATACTTATTACATAAAACAGATTTTGAAAATATGATAATTAGTATAGTATGAAACATTGCAGTTTTAAAAATGCTAAATTTCTAAGCTTGTAACTTGTTTTGAAAATATAAATATACAGAGTAGCCATAAAGTTTCCCTATTCAGAGCACACTATAGCTGTAACCAATAAGTGGATTGATACCAAAACTTGTATTTAGACTATGAAAAGGATGCAGAAAATGATTTTGCAAGAAAAAATTTTTAGTTTGAAAGCTTCTGCTATTGGGCACATTAAGGAAAATATACAAAAAAACAAAAACAGTAAAAATGAAGACCAACCTTAACATGACTATAATTTACATTATGCATTATGCAAATAATGTTTGATTTTATGATTATTTATAATGTTAAAATAACAGATTAAAACTAAGTCAATGAAAACAAAGATATGGCACTACAAACAAAAAGTCAATCTGCATTTTTTTTTTGCACTGCCTTCAAATTTTACATCTGATTAAAGTGGTACCGTACATATTGAACAACATTCTTTGCATCAGTAGTTTACTAATGCTGATGCAAGGATTTTCTGATGATGGTATGTCCCTTGCAGAACAAATGCATTTTTTTGTTTTTTGTGTGTGTGTATTTCCTGTAAAATGTCCCCTAGTGGTAGAGGACATTTTACAGGACTCTACCACTTGAACTAAATTTTTTTTCTGGAAAATCCTTTTACACATTCTTTGCATAGTCTGTTTACAAATTTTGGTGTTAATTCACTTATTGGTTACAGTTACAGAGTGCTCTGAATAGGGAAACTTTAATTATGGTCACTCTGTATATTTACATTTAATATAATGAATGAATAAGAAATTAATACATGAAAATATTACTTATTTAAAGGAAATATTTATATTTTACTTAATAAAAATAATAATTTCAAAATATTTTTTAATCAAATTTCAGGCAAATCAAATATCTCCTGTTCGTCAGGATGGTGTTATAAAAAAATCTGAAAAAGAAGAATGGGAACTGCAGCAAAATATAGATACTAAAGATAAAAGGTAATTATCAAAAATGTTTTTCTTAATGATGGTCAAATCAATAGTAAAGATAAAAGGTAATTATCAAAAATGTTTTTCTTAATGATGGTCAAATCAATAGAATACAACTATTTATACAATTATAAATATAATGTTGATTATTAAACAAGACATCAATTTCATATGAATGATTTAATTCACTGTTTTGTAATTTATCGAGAGCATAATTGCACATGTATATATTTTATTCCTATCTCAATAATAACACTACATAAGAAAACAAAATGTCATTTATTTTTGAATTTGACAGATGTCAATTGGTTAATTGTTGTTTTCAAATTCTGCAGACCTTTATATCATCCTTAAAGATTTGTTTTCTTCTTCTTGAGAAAATATTTTTGATATTTTTATCCATTTTCTCAAAAATAGAACTTGGTGAAAGTGTTTCATTTTTAATCTCCATTCCTTTGTAGTAGTTAGACAAATGTGTTCAATTCTATCTCTCAAAAAAAAAAAAAACTTTAGATTTTAGAAATATAAATGAGAAAGCTGAAAAGTAACCATATAGCAAAGAAATAGTTTCCTCATTTTTCAGAAATTGTAAAGTGAATATCTTCCCAAATTATTATTTGAATTTTGGGACTGCATTTTGAGTATCAAACTATTCTTATTCATATGAAAGGGATGAGACAGCCAATCTTTTTGCCAAATTATACTTTTTTTCACACTAGACTTTCTTCTTTCTTCTAATTGTGCTAAGTTGACAAAAATTAACAGTAATATATAAATCTGTGAAGGTCAAATGCAATTTTACATCATTGAGACTCGCTTTTTATGGATTTTGTTAAGTAATATTAAGATTTGTGATGACATTCAGTTTTATTAGTATTAAGTAGATATAAGTCTTCCTACTAATAGCCACTTGGCACTAACTTCTACACTTAGCTATTTGTGGCTGCACTTAATTATTGGTGTTTGCTACACTCCAGTTTTCTTTTAGACCCTTTAGAGGGATCCTACCTAAGGTTACAGTATCTAGTCCCCCAAACAGTGAACATTTCTCTACTGACCATCTCCTCTCCCTCCTCCTTTCCCTTGCTCTCTTTTCTGCCAGCTAAACACTTCATGTATGGCCGATGTCTTTCTTGTATGTATGTGACTTTGCTGTGTTCTTGAAGTGTATCTCCATAATCTGTCCTTTTACACAAAATTTTTAAACATAAAAAAAAATGAAATAGAAGAATAAAGACTATTTTACAATAGAAAAAGTAAGAGTACATTGAAAATACATATCATGAAAGCAACATTTCCCAATAAAAAGAATAGCCACTGATGGGAATGATGTTCTTTAGTTTGATCATTTCATGCATTGAACAGTCTTGTGGCATGAGTCATCATTTAAGTATTTCTTGATAGCTATAAAGCATCTTCAACTATTGATTTGATATGATAAGTAAGCATCTGTTGTCTTAGATTTTAGATACAACAAATAATATAAAAGATCAACATTAGAATATGAAATAACAACATACAAGAAAAAAACCAAATATTTACACCTGAGGAAGCCCTTTAATGAAAAAGAAATGAAAGTAAGTCAAATGTCACTGTTTTTGGGCTACAATTTGAAAAATTGTAACCTATAAATTCCCACAGGTTGTCTGTCTTTCCTTAATCTCAAGGATGGAGTGAGTTAGATGAAATATGAGACCAGATATGGAAACCTTAGGGATAAGAGGCTCTGATGAACTATATAAGAACTTCCAATGCAAACCAGAAGTCATGTTATTTCAATTCAAAAATTTTTCCCTGAAAGGTGTTAGATAGATGTTCTGGTTAACTCTGTTGTTAAAGGAAAGGTATGATATATAGGAGCAAGACACTACAGTACTAATTTGAAGTGGAGAGCATGTATTTGAAATTAAATAAATTAAAAATATGACAAAACATTACAGCCTGGCATTGTGATGATATCACAATAAATAATCGCTAGTTCTTTGTTTCTGTTTAAATCACTTATACCTGAGGAAACCTATAGTAAAAGCAGTAAAAGTGCTGTTTTTGTTTTTTCTTTACTGTAATTGGATATAAATTAAAATAGGCAAGATTTAATTTGTCTGTAGCTAGCAGTTATTGATGGAAATAATGCAGTCAAGAAATTTGTTCTTTTCAGTCATGTAATGAGATATCTGCAAGAATGATTTAACAATATCCATTCATATCTGTTCCTTAGATATTCACTGCTTTCACATCTTTCTGTAATGTAAAGTTTTCATGTGCTGTCTGAGAACAAGTTGAATATAGGAACTAAAAATGCATTATACTTGTATTAAACTGCTTTTTTATATTGCATTTGCATTGTAACAGCTACTGTAATCATCTGCACCTAAACTATAGTTTATCAGAATAATTCTTATCAAACTGAAGTTAGTTTTTTTGGAGTTTACCTTCTTTAATTTTAATTTATATATATATATATGAATGGAAATACTTATATAAAAAATATTATTTTTTTCAGTTTGCCTGAATATCTCCCAAAACCAAACATAACTGCAAATTTAGATAATGGCTATGTATTGGAGAATACAGGTGATTACTTCTTGGAACATTGCGTGGGTGATGTTTACATTGGCAGTCCCCATAGAAGGCAACAGTATTTAGAACCCATATATAAACGCACAAAAAGTAAACCACAGATTACCATTTCTGTAGAAGAAAAGGTAAGAAAATGCAGTATTTATGATTAACTACTTAATATCGATTCCTTAATTATAATATATCTACAAAGTATAGCAAATTGTCAATATAGTGTTGTGTTATGTGATGATAGCTATTACTATTATTGTTTACTTTTGAAGTATCAAAAAATGTTAGTTGTTATCAGTAATTTATATTGAAAATATTTATACTGTATAATTGAAAGTTTAGTGGGAAAAATTCATGTTGTTATAAGGTCAAAAGAATAATTATTAAATGATTTATTTATTTTTAGACCATAGAAATGTTTTAAGATATCTTGATTAGAATTCTAAATCAAATGAACAGAATTAATCTGATTTTTGAAAGTAAATTTCTTGGTGTTGAAATTATTATGTCATAAATGTGCTTCTGTCTTGAAAACAATTTATTATTAAGTAAATTGAAAATCATCATGAATTTAATGATGAAAATAAAAATTATTACAGTTCATTTCATGAATCTTGTCCAGACTGTAAAAATGCACAGTATTGGAGAAGTGTCTTTGACAGGGTCAAAGGTTGTGTATTATTAAAAAGGGTTCTTGAACTATATAAAAGTTTGAGTTACAACTGATAAATGATCTGTATAACAGTGTATTTTTAAATTTACAATTAAATTTGTAAATTATATCGTATTTACAATATTTAATTGAGTAATAATCATCAATCATTTACAACCATCAGTTTTGAAAATGTTTTAGGTTTTATAACAACTTTTTAATTAATTAATATACAATAATCAAAGAACCTGTAAAAATTTAAATTAATTATCTTACTATCTTAAAATTAATTCCAACAACATTGATAATTTTTTATTAACAAAATTGTCTCTTTGATTATGCTAATAGTTTTTATAAAATTATTATAGTATTATATTAGAGTAAAAACAGTACACACAATCCTGTTTCTGTGTGTATATGACAACCTCAGAGAAAGAATGATCCATGTCAGTAAATCTTAATTTTGAGATAAACTTATACACCTTATTTTCCATTAGTTCTTCTTTTGGCTTGGGATGATAGGATAATTTAACAAACTTAAGTTTATACATTGAATTGGGTAGATTTTTTCTTTATTAATAAACTAGGAATGCAATAATGATCCATGTTAATTTTTTTAGATTTTCCATTTTTGCTTCAATAATTCAGTCTGACCTTTATAAGATAGTTTTATTGCATTTTTGGTACACACAAGGACTGTAACAATAGAAATATGTAAAATTCAAAAGGTAATAACTTCTTTATTTGTAATGTAAACAGAAAGACTTTACTTTTATTTAAAAGTTTGTGTTTTAAAATACAGTACATTTAAGTTTTGCTCCATTCCCTTCCAAGTTTCTTTTGAATACTCTTTTTAAGATTTTCAACAGTATTTTCTTAAATCCTTGTGACTGCTCTTTTCCACTTCAGAGAAAAATCATTAATGTTTATTCTGATTTTATACCAAGAGACCAAAATCTGTGCTGTTCCAGCTAACCTACTGTGGATTTTGCATAATGTATTGTTACCGAATTTGGTCAGAACAAAGTATGGCCACCATGATTTCTAAAAAGGAAGATGATGTTTATTACTGAAATTTATATTAATGAACATTTAAATATTTTTTTTTGTCATAAATGACAAACTTTTGAATCCATACTGGCAAATTGCTTGCCATATCAGATATTTTGATCCAAACTTTTTGACACCAATTGATGCTTGAGATTCTGGAAGAACTTCTCCTTCAAATGAGCCTGGGAGTGTTGAGAAGTCAGCCTTCACAAGTCAGCCTTCATCATCTAAAACCAAACGAGTATTTTTCTTGCCAATTACAGAAGATAATTAAAACTAGAGCTCAAAAATTGTAATACCTAAAGTGACATAAAAAACATAATATCTGTTTTTCAATGATCTTATACTTTTACCTTAGTTAGCCTTTTGAGTCATTGTTCAATTATTTTCACATTTTTTTCCAACATCGGTCACTGACATACTGTGATTTTTGGAAGTAACTTTGATTATCTTCTCATCATATTGTGAGCTGTAAACACCATATTCTCAACTGAAACGGACAATGTCTTACAATACTGATTTAACTCTCCATCCACCATATTTTGGGAAATTTGTAGCTCTTTTGCTTTGAAATGTGTTGGCTGGAAAATCCAGAAAAACAATTTGTCAACAATTGTTTTTTGCTGGTCTAACTAAAGTAACTGATAACAAAATTCTTATTTTAATTATTTGAAGTACAGTAGAGTTCTGTACAACGTGGAGGATTCGTTACGTATTATAGGAAATTGCGTTATCAAAACCTGCATTATCACACGATTTATGAAAGTTTAAACCTTGGCCTATAAGTTGAAAAAAAAACGTATACGTCTGATTGACAAAATTCGAGGGTATTGCTTGCTTTATTTGCTCATTGTACAGGACTACTGTTGTTAAATAATAAACTAAAAATTTAATAATTCATGTCTCTTGAGTTTTGCAGATTTTTATTGTTAGTCTTTACTTAGTCATTAATACTATTTACACACTCAGCAAGATAGAAGATTTTACCTGAACTGAGGAGCTGTTGTCTTTTGGATCTGCATTCTTTCTTGGCATTTGTGGTAGAGATTTGAAATAGTAGTGAACCAACCGAATATAAGCAAGAATTTTCCTTAAATCAACCATTTTTTTTTTCTAACTTATTGGTTTCATTCTCACTGATTCTTTTGGCTTGTAAGCTTCAAACTGATTTCTTGAAGGCTTCTTTGGAAACTCTTCCTTGTATGACATAATGGTGCAACCCTTATGAAACTTTAAGGCTTCGTTTTTATTATCTTAACAGGTTCACTGCTGGTATTTTTTGTCTTTTTTTTTATTAAAATGTGTTTTAATCCATTGAAGTCCAAAACATTATTTACAGCTTTGAAAACTTCAAAATGATTGAATTTTTTTTTTTTTACATGATGATACCAACTCCTATCATTCAGTTGTAGTGTATATGCATAGTCATCCTCTGGGCTTTTTCTTCATTTCTAATGTCTGTGTCATTTGGGAAAAAAGTGTGTTCACTTACCAAAAATTTGAAATTAATTTTGTGCAGTTGGGAAATCACATTAACAATATACACGAAACAAAAGAAAACATTCCAGTTGTGATTTTGACTGCCACTGAAAGTAATCAGTCTTGTCACATTGAGGCAAGAGTATTTTTACAGTGGTAATATCTCTTCCCCCTTTGGTTTCATGTCATTCATTATTACATGCTCTTACCATCCAGTGATGGTAGGTAAAAAGTTCATTCCAAAATTTTAGGTCCACATTAACAAAGATAAAATGCTTTTTCAGTAGACATGTACTGAGCCTAACTTACTAACTTTTGATTTGCAAAGTATGCTTGTAAGGCTTCTGTGTTAGTTGAGTCAGACATGCATAGTTTTCTTTTTGGAGTTTATTTCATTTTTGACATAGTTTGTTTTTTCTTGGTGATTTTGCTTGTTTTCCATTTCCTGCCTTTTCTTTGAATCCGTTTTTGCTTTAATCATGACATTGTAGTTATTGAGTTTTCATGTGCCAGATTTTACCAAGCACAGAAAAAGGAATTGAAATCAAGTTTAAATATCCTGGTGTAACTCCCATTTTTTTTGCAGGTGGACAGTTCTCCTCTCTACTTTCTTGTTGTATAGTTCAAATATTTTAGGAAATACCTACATCCAGACTTGTCAATATCTATCACTTATGATAGCCATTATGGGCAAAGAAAATTTGGAGAACTTCAATATGATTTTTTTATGAAGTTCTCTGTATCATCTGGTATTTTATTTGATGCAGGCTGCTTACCTCTTTGTCAGAAGGCAAGTTGTTACAGTGTTGCTTTTTTGTGCAGTGTGTAATCCATACTTTCGTTACTAATTTGGAGAGCAGAAAGCAAAAATGTTTTGCATACTCTTGACTTCTGCTTCTGGCTATTTTCAAAATTAGTTTTTGTCTATTGTTTTGGTGTAAACTGTTTTGCACTGGAGCATATGATAGTAGTCTGAATTTCCAATTTCCAGAAGTCTTAAACAAGCATTTTGTGCTTCCTGATTTACATGCTGACTGCAAATCATTCTGCAATTGCAGGATGGAGATGAGAACACCTTTTCTTCCATCACATTGTTTGGAAAATTTGTATATTTTTGAATTTCTAAGTCATTTTCACTTATTCCTATTCCTCTGATTCTGAGGTTTCATTATGACATACCTCCATTTTTGAAACAATAGGTGACGTTTCTGTTATTTGTTCTCTAGTTTTCAGGAATTTGAGCCAAAAGGAGTAATTTTTCTGTAATTTCTTCTCTCTAACATGAAATGAAGGGTTTGCATCACTGTCATCTAGATAACTTTCAGATATTGTTACTTTTAGGTTCTTTCTAATGCTGATCTGAAAATTTTCATCTCCTTGATTCCATTTTATTCCAAATACTTTTTTTAATGAAGAAAAATCAGGTATGCTTGATGTTGCTTTGATATTTAAAAAATTAGTGTTGTTGGATTTAAAAATGTTTATATTATTATAAGATTTTTACACCATAACATTGAGTTTTCCACTTAATTAAAATATCACATTATAAAAATTTACTTTTTTTTTTCATTGTTTTTAAACTGTCAACAAGCATTGAAGGTGGGAAGTTTTTTTTTTATAAAGATATTTGCTAAATTACAAAAGTGCTTGACAAAAAGTTTTCAAGCAAAAGCAAAGGAAAAGTGATTCAAGTCAGACATAGATAACTAATACTCTTCATAACCTGTTCAATTAGATTATGCAATAGCGATCTCATCAACATCAAGCACAACAACAACAAATTTGACTTGGATCTGTATTATAGTTACTTTTAAGTAAACTCCACATGCTAAAGCTATAATACCAAAAACTGGACTTGGATCACTCTTGCCCTAAGGTTCCATATATATATATATATATATTAAATTTGTTGTTAATATTCTGTCCCAAAATAGTTGTTACATTTATCATTTATTTCTTGTTGGCATAGCAACTTCATTTTCTAATAAACAGAACTGATTATCTAATGCATACAATTTGTGTCAAAGGCAATGTTTTCAAAAAAGCAACTGCTGTCATTCCATGTTAGAGCAAGAAATAGTAAGAATAGCTGAAATTTTAAGGAGAAAGAAGGTGAAACCACACATTGAAATGAAAAAAACTTAATGAGAAGCCTTAAATGGAAATCTCAAGGCTTGCATATTGATTTATTCATTCATGGTAAAATAAATAAATCAAAGTAATTACATTTCTTAATTTATATCAAAGAAAAGTTCAACTATTTTGGAGCAGAGAGGATAAAATTTGTTTCTAAATACAATATGCTGTGAAATTAAAATTAAATGTGCTTTTTAAATATTGTTAAATCAAATAATAAAATTTTGATGTATAATTTAGCAAGAGAAAAATTCAGAAAATGAACAAGCACCTTCAAATAAAAATGAAACTTCTTCAGGTAATAAATTTTTTTTCTTTATGTTTATATTTCATAACCAAATTATTTAATGTTTTACCAAAAAAAATTATTGTGTTTCTTATTTTAAAGCAGGTATTCTAAGAAGACATAAATGCCCATCACCTTCTCCTTTGCTCTCACCAATTATAGAAGGTGAAAAATTGACTGGTACTGGGAGACTTAGTTGGAAGTCTAGATCTGTTTCTGAACAATCTTTAAACGAATTTGATGATGAAGAATCTGAATCATCTTTTAGGACGAATATTCCAATGCATAATAATTTAGAAGATAGCTGGGGAGCAAAAGAATGTGGCAGTCTGAGTAATCTCTTCTTTCAGTCGAATCAAGACATTGAAAACACGGATCAAATATGTAAAGAAATGCACGAAGAAAATGACTTCCAAGAAATTGTGATTCCATCTTTGCCTTGTCAAGAATGTAAAGAAGATCACGATAACGAAGTAGACGATATTAAAGAACAGAAAGATACTTTCTTAGAAGGTGATCACTGGGCTTTTATTCCTCACGTAGATGGGCGACTCTTTAGAAAAAGTGAAAATAATAATTACAATGCTCCAATCGGTGCTCACATGTCAGATCTTTATCCATATAATCTCACACGGTGCAAATCCGAAGACGAACTAATGTTAAATCAAAGAAATTCCAAATTGCAAAGAAGGTTCTCGGAAAACGAACAGCAATGGCAGTTACACGACGACTTGTCGTTTACGCAACCGATTAACGGATACGTTATGAACAAAGGCAACAATATTGCATCTTCCGCTTTTCTGTACATTAAAGAATCCGAAGGAGGATTGGAGACGCCGGAGGTCATTATTTCCACGTCGAAAAAGTCTAGTCATCCGGACGGCATCGGTCACGCCGTCTTTCAGCATAGAGATTGTTGGGTGGGCGATACAAAATACAAACACAATACAAAACAAGTATTATAAAATAATCGTTGGCAAAATACTTACTACTTTACAAAACAGTTTTGAGAGAAAGGTGTTCCTATATTGTTGTCCTTCCACAATGTAATTAAAAACAGTTTCATATTATATCTAAGTACAGTTTAGCATTCGCATTTACATACTTTCTATTCAGTTTAAAGAAGTTTTTTCAAAACATTGGTATATAAATGGGTGGACATAAAAAACAAAACAAAAAAAACAAGTCATCTTCTTTTAGGTCATCAAACTAACATGCTGATTATTAATACTGCTCAAATATCTGTTGTCTAAACAATTTTTCATTCCAACAGATTTTATTAGAATAGAATCTTTATACTGTTATATCAAAATGAATTTCAAATTTATGCTTGAAAAGTTTGCAAGTACTTTTTCAATCATTTGTATGTGTAATAATCCCTTTTCCCATTTGATGTACTAATTGTGAAGTCAATAAAAATATTGTCTAAATGGAAAAGTAAAAATGCATTAATTATTAAGTGTCTAATAACAACTGATTAATTTTTTGTTTGTCAAGTTATATAGTTTTTATGATAAAAAACTGAGAAATGGAATGACCTTAACAACGTTGTTTTGAAGATCATCATTAGTTCATTAGTCTCAAACCTCTGCCCTGCTAGCCATATTTTCAGTTCAGGAAAGAGGTGGTCTTCATACATTAAAAAGTTCCAAGCTGGGTGGAAGTCTTCACCTTTAAGCACCCAGCGTAAAGCCTGATTTAGCGCTGAGAGACTCCCGCCTCTCCTGAACAGGAAAAGTGGCTAGGAGGGCAGAGGTTCGAGACTAATGACGATCTTCAAAACAACATTAGGGCCCATCTCAAGTCATTGGTGGCAATATTCTATGACAATGGGATGGAGAAGCTTGTCCACAGATATGACAAATGCCTCAATCTTCACGGTGATTATGTCGAAAAGTAATATTGTTTGTATCTGAATTTTGGTAAAAATTCATTTTGTTATTTACACTTGTCTTTTTTTTTTTTTTTTTTTTAATGACCATCGAAGCTTGAGAAAAAACAGCCTACGTATATATGTATATTAAATATCTCAAAATCTGTTATTTTATAATGATGGCCAGATTTAATTTGGGTTACTTTATCACTGCTATTAATAATTATTGAGTAATTTGGTACTAGAGGTAGGCATTAGGTACCATCTCTTCCAGAATACTCCAAATTATTTAATAAATATTAAATTTAATAATTAAATTAATAAAAGATATCACCTAATGTCCCATCTCTAGTACCAAATTAGTATTTAATTATTAAGGGTAGCAGTAAAGTAGCCCAATTTAAATCCAGCACAGATTTAGAGAAAATACTTATTACTTTTATATTTGAAATAATTAAAACTGCGGAGTTTTTATTTGTAGTTTTAATTATTAAACACAAGGCAGACTATTTTTTTGAAATACATGTACATTATTAAGTGTCGTTTCTATTTTTATTCCTTTTTTTATACAGACCTAATTCTCTGTAGATCTGTAATAATACATGAAAACTATGAATGAGTTAATGATTCTACAGAGATGTTAACAGTTTACAATGGATAATATAATAAAAATAAACCATTTTATGTTGATAGAAAAAGTGAAAAATGAGATAAACTGGAAATTGTTAAGTTAAACAAATGGATATGTATGTATTGTTTTCGTTTATTATCTGTGGTTGATACTTATAATTGCCATATATATAATTAAATTTAATGCTTTGTTTGTGAACAAAATAAAGATCAAATGCTTGTCCAAGATGTACTTATAGGTGAATAGGTGATCAAAAATATATATATTTACAGATACTATTACTTAAGATATCAAACTCATTGAAATTGCTGTTATGTATTCAACGGAAAACTCTATTGATTATAATTATATAATTCAAGTATACATTTAGTGGTAGTAGTTCACCTCCACTCTCTTTGGAAAATGGTCTCATATACTAACTTGGGTGTGAAAAAAAATCTGGACTGAGTTTAAAGCATTATAACTTTTGAACTCAAAATACAATTTTAAAATCTTTGCACCAAAAATCACATCATTACGTGTGCTCGGTTGCGGCATGTGAAGTTTTTGAACATTCGATAGTCAGTTTGGAAAAATGGCTTCAAAACGGGCTCGTTAAGAGAGCACGTTGTGCAAATGTAAGAAAATAAAACAAACCACTCAAAAAAAGTTGGTGGTGGAGTATTTTTTTTTTAGCTGAAGGCCTTAGCAAATTAACTGTATATAATGTTTTGAAGAAGTAAGAAGTTTTTTCTGACCAATCATGATTTCATTCTGGAGGAAGTTGTTCCTCCAAAATAAAATCATGATTGGCCAAAAAAAAGAAATAAACAGAAGGAAATGATGAAAGTCACGTTAGAAAGGGAAGAGAAAGCAGAAAGTCAGGGGGAAAGACAGAGGAGCAGAGAGAAAACAGAGAGAGAAGAGTGAACATAACATCCAGAAAGAGTGTCAACTCTGAGAAAAGAGGACCAACACAACTGTAGCGAGCTGCACCAGAGGAGATTAAATCTGGAGGAAATAGTCAGCAAAAAAGAGAGATAAGGAAGGAAAAGGATAAAGTGCAAAAGGAAATGAAAATAAGACAGGTTTTTGAAGAGAAGACAACTTTTTTCCTGGTATGTTGCGAGTTGCAAAGTTTTGGATACCACCATTTTACTAATATAGAAATAGGCTAACTCCCGAGGACAGACTTTGTATTTAATATTAATTTAAAACTTAATTTTAATGTTACGTTTAGATTTTTTTTGTAATAAATTTTCCTTTTTATTCTTGAGTTGGTTTAATTGATTTTGCATTCATCTTCCCAAGAGGCTCATTCCTGGACTTCGGAGTGATTCTTACCCTTGCACCTTACATATCTATCTGACTTCCTAGAGTCTTATCAGACACACCTCTGATTTACATACCTGGTTGCAGGATCCTACCTAAAACTCCCAGATTTTTGATGGTCCAAAGCCCCTACAGCACTAAGAAGGTTTCTTAACAGTGTAGTGAAGTATTTACTAGTCCCAGATTGGACTCATATAATTTATATCTATGCCAATTTATACTTAGTGGTTTTGTTATTTTGAAGTGTTGTTCTGGAATAAAATCATGATTGGTTGAGGTAATGAAGGATAAGTATGATTGGTTATTCTTTAGTCCTCCTCCTCGCATCTATTATGAATTGTGTGTGTCCATGTGATATGGACAAAGTAACATCCGTCACCTAACACTATTGAAAAAGGGGGAAATGACTATCGTCCCCTTTGTCTTTTCCTCTGAATGTTGTGAGTTTTATAACAATCGATTGATAATTTTTTCATTCTAATTTGTTTCTATTAATTGTTTTTAATTGGTATTGCTAAAAATTTAGAAGGGGTCCGTAAATTGGAAAAATAGGCAAAATTCCTTTGCAGTGTTGCTTGATAAACAATCCCATGTCGCATTCACACATACATCTTCGAGGAGTGGATGCAAAGGGTGTCTTGTCTGATAACTAACAATTGTTTGATGAACAACCAGACAAAACAAAAAAAGGGATATAAAATACATATATAGTTTAAAATATACTAAAATTTCCAACTTATTATTTAAAGAGAATATAATTTTAAGCTAATAATGTAAAGATAATGTTTATATATATAAATATTCTTGAATTATTAGTGTGTGTGTGTGTGTGTGTGTGTGTAATAACCAAAATTTTGGGGAAATGGGCTCTATGAACAGAAAGAGAGTATCTAGTTTATCTGTCTTAACTGCCAACTTTTACACAAAAATATTCATAAAGATAAATATTTATCATCCTGAAAGGAAATGCTGGATAACAACAGTGCCCACAGACTATAAAAAAAGGACAGAGTTTGAAGTTACTTTCGTAATATACTATTATTCAAAGTCAGATCAGAGCTCCCACAAGATTACTCTGGTTGCACTTGAGGCTATCTTGGCCTTAGAAAGAATGTGGTTTTGGTCAACATACACAACAAAGTTACATGGGACAATGATGGTTGGCAACTATGTATTTGTCCAGTGTTTTGTATGCTCCATCAGTGGACAGGTCGCTTTCCCTTTTGTCAGCATTTTTAAAGAAATTATCACATTTAATGAGTCTAACACTAACATAAATGCTGAAGACATTCTATGTATTGATATTTTATTACAAACAACTGAAGCAAACCAAAAGGACATCCTTCAACTGAGAAAGAACCAAGATTAATATTTTTATATATGTATGTTGGTATATAAATGAGAATTTTAACTCAAATGTGATCATTTTAAATGGCAGATAAGATAAATTGCATCTTGATGGCATTAAATTTGCCAGACTTTATGTTGATGGTTAAATCAATTATGGCCAACTCATCAGCAGAAAGAAACGAGTTACTTTTACAGTTATAGCAAATTATTGAGCAGCGCTAGTTCTTTTTGAACAGAGGAACATCTGATTCATCACTTAAGAATATAACAGGCTGTGTGATATGAACTCTCTCAAGAAAAGAAACCAGATGGTTCTTAAAGATTTGTAATCTTTGTAAAATAGTAAGGTTGATGATGGTACTATTTTTTACCACACAGCATTGCAGGACCTCCCATGCATTGTTGTGTGGCAAAAGGAAAAGATATTGTAAGTATGGTAAGAAAAAGACAGAGATAGGAAATAAATAACGAAAAAAATCATTGTCCTTAATAATTGCATTGAAATCAATAAACTGACTGATAGCAACTGTCATGAGTACATTGTATTGTAACAAGAAATTATTAACAAAGCAAAACATTACACAATGGCATAACAGGAGGCAATATCAAGATGGATATATCATAAATCAATACTTAGATTTATATGTCCCATAAAATATATGACCTTTATACTCTTTAACATCACAATTTAAATAAAGCTTTATAAGATATATGCAGAGATACCTTATCTACTTATTTCTAATAGACTGAGAGAGAGAGAGAGCTTACATAAATCTATCAAGTATAATACCTCTTATAATGGTTAAAGTAGACTGAGATGACCGTTTCCTCGGCCCATCATCCTATTAATCAACTTCCTACCACACAATCTTTTGGATGATTTCAAGCCCATTATATCCCCATCAGGTGAAGGAATTTCGTCAGGTGATTCTGTGTCATTGTTGCACCCGGTGAGCCATTATAAGATTTTGTCACGGGATGGTGATGACTTGGGCGAAGGTTTGTTTCCTTTTTGTTGTTTTGATTCTCATGTCACTGTCTCGTTCGCACTCATTGACAGCAAGCTAATATTGCTTACCTACAACTTTCTTACATCAGGGGGGCTTGGCATCTTGAGGATCACATACAAAAGTTCCTTCCTAGTCAACTGTTGCAATTGGATATGCCCTTTAATATGAGAAATAGATTCTGGTGGTCATTGTATATTTACCGATCCTGTGGGATACGAATGCAAAATAGAAGAACTGACATAAAGGAAAGTGTCTTATGATTTTTTTCCCTCGTGATAATTAATTGAAAAATTAAGTCTGGAATCTCACATCGGCAAGTATTTGAAATACTGTTCATTAGTTTTTTATACTTTCAGAATAGGCTAGAAGTCATGAATTTTCTGTTTGTTGATAATGGAATTTTGGGGATCATTAGGGATTAGGAAAAGGGCAACCAAGATGAAAAAGGGGAGCATATGCCCCAATTTACTGGTGCCCCTAGTCTCGTGTATTGTGGGCCACATGCTTCCCAGTGGTGCACATTGTGGCAGTTATATACTCTGTTCCAGGAAAACAGTGCCTTATCAGTCTGTTAAATTTATATCACAACGAGCCATAGCATGTTTAACATCATGTTGCATCACTCAAATTACTGTGCAGCATCCTCTGCATATTGTGCTGGTTACAGATGGTAGCTGAATAGATGCATGTCA